TGTTTTTTATTTCTTCTTTGATCTCTTTGGTAACCCAGTCATTATTTAATGACATGCTATTTAGCCTCCAGGTGCTTGATTTTTTTTTATTGTAATTGATTTCTAATTTTAGGCCATTGTGAACTGAGAAGATGGTTGATGTGATTTTTATCTTCTTGAACTTGAAGAGACTTTGCCTGTGTCCCAATATGTGGTTTACCTTTAAAAATGTCCCTGTGCACTGGAGAAGAATGTACATTCCATTGCTTTCAGGTGAAATGTTCTGAAGATGTCAACCAATTCCATATGATCTAGTGAGTCATTTAGGATTGCAGTTTCTTTGTTGATTCTTTCTCTAGATGATTTATCCAGTGATGTCAATGGGGTATTAAAATTCCCTACTATGATTGCATTGCTGTTGATCTCAACCTTAATATCTTCGAGAAGTTTATGTATTTTGGTGCTCCTTTGGATTTGGTGCTCCTTTGGGGGCATATATGTTTACCAGAGTTATATCCTCTTGTTGAATTGCTCCCTTTTGTATTATGAAGTGGCCCTCCTTATCTCTTGTTATGGCCTTCACTTTGAGGTCTATTTTGTCAGACATAAATATTGCTACCCTAGCTTTTTTATTCATTTCTGTTTGTCTGAAAAGAATTTTTTTTCATCCCTTCATTTTCAGTCTGTGTGAATCCCTTGTTCTGAGGTGGGTCTCTTGTAGACAGCATATATATGGGTCATGTTTTCTTATCCATTCAGCCACCCTATGTCTTTTGATTGGATCATTTAATCAATTTACATTTAAAGTTATTATTGATAAATACTTGTTTGTAGCCATATTTATTCTTTATGCCTGTGTTCCTTCTTCCCTTTCTATTTCTTCTTTTTATAGTAGTACCTTTTGCATTTATTGCATTGCTGACTTGGTGGTAGTAAACACCCTTAGCCTTTTTTTGTCTATGAAGCTCTTGATTTCCCCTTCAATTTTGAATGATAAGCTTGCTGATAGAGTATTATTGGATTCAGTCCCTTGCTTTGCATCACTTTGTATACTTCATTCCATTCCCTTCTGGCCTGATGTGTTTCTGTTGAGAAAACATTTGATAGTCTGGGAAATCCCTTGTAGGTAACTTTCTGTCTGGTAACTTTCCGTCTCTCTCTTCCAGCCCTTAAGATTCTCTCATTGTCATTAACATTTGCCATTGTAATTATGATGTGTCTTGGTGTGGGTCTTTTTGGGTTCATCTTGTTTGTGACCCCCATGTTTGTGTAACCTTTTTGTTCCTCAAGCGAGGGAAGTTTTCTGTCATTATTTCTAAAAATTGGGTTTCTAATTATTGCTCCTCTTCTTGTCCTTTTGACACCCCTATTATACAGATGTTGCTTTGTTTCATGTTATTCCAAAGCTCCTTTAAACTGTCCTCCTGCTTTCTAATTTTTTTTTATCCAATTGCCATTCTGATTTGGTGTTTTTTTCTATCCTGTCTTCTAACTTGTTGATTTGATCCTCTGCTTCTTCTAGTCTACTGTTGAAACCTTCCATTGTGTTTTCTATTGCTGCTATATCACTCTTGATTTTTACATATGTTGGTGAATTTCTGATCTAGATGGTTTAACATCTTTATGACCATTACTCTGAATTCTTTCTCTGACATATTGCTTCCCTACATTTCATTAGTTCCTTTTTTTTTTTGGCAATTCCTCCTTTCCTTTGGGGATTGTTTCTTTGTTTCCTCATTTTTGCTGTCTCTTTCTGGTCCTGGGCACCCTGCTTGGGGTCTGAGAAGTTGAAGCCCCTAGCAGTCTAATGGTCCTGGATTCGCTAGTCCAGAGGCTGGGTCTGTCTTGAGTTTCACACCTTTGTTGTCTGTGCTCTGAGTTTTATCCCCTTCTCCCATGGCTCTGGTCCCTCAGTTGTCTGCTTCAGATACTCTGGATCGGCTGGGGCACATGCACAGTTCTTCTGGTGTAACTCACTGTGAGGGCCCAAAGCCCTCTGGCATGCAATTCATTGTGTGGCCACACTTGCAGCGTGGTCCTGTGACCTGTGGCTGGGTCCACTGGGTTGCACTGGCAGATCTGTCCTGGGCCAGGGTGGAGCGTGTACCAGCTGATACCTCTGTCTGGGCAGGTGTGGAGGGTGCACCTGGACTGGGGATGGGGCAGGGCAGGGGTACCCCTGGCTTGTACTCACAGCACGGGGACTTGAAGTGCAGAATCCTAGGACACCGGTTCTGGAGTCTGGAGAGAAGGCATAGCTCAGGACGGCCCTCTGGTATGCACTCACTATAGACATCTGGAAACCACGGGGTGGTGCCGCACTGTTCACTGCCGGGACATGGTGGCGGATTTACGTGAGTTATGGCTGGCAAGCAGCTCCCTGCACCAGTCTGGGTGTGGTGTCCGAGGTCAGTCTGGAGATTGGTGTGGCTGTGTTCCTGGCCTCCTTTGCTCCCCTATACATGATGGCATGGGCTCTGCACTAAAGCCACCCTGGCCTGGGAGTGCCTGCTGCAGTAGCAGGGGCTCCCTATCTAGGAGAGCCCAATCTGCCAGTCGCCAGGAATCCTGTGATATCTAACTCTCCCTCACTCGCCACACACACACCACACATGTCCACACATGCCCCTCTCACTTCTTTACTCTGTCATACTCTCTCCCTCCCTGCCATTCTTTCGGCCACCATGTTCCCAAGTCTCAGTTTTCTCTTTGACCAAAAGTCCCACCCTTTGCCTGGCTAGCTAGTCAAGCTACATCACTCTGCCAAAGCCTGAGTCATGCTCCAGGTCCAGGAAATCTCAGCTCACAGCCCTCATTGATCACCCCTCCTTCAAACGATGTAAAATGGCTCTTGTGTTTTCTGTAATCTCAGTACTCATACTTAATCTATTTTATCTTGAATTATTTCCAGTTGTTTCATTTAATAATATTTAGGCACTGTGTCTAGACACCTTAGATGTTTGTGTGTGTGTGTGTGTGTGTGTGTGTGCATTCAGTAGATTCTCATTATTTGTAGATTCTGTATTTGTGAATTCATCTACCCCCTAAATTTATTTTCACTCCCCAAAATCAACATTTGCTGACGAAATTTTTATATACCTCATCATTTATCTTTTAAAAAATAAGTTAAATATTTTTGAAACCTCCAAAGCACCTTCATGAGCAGTTTGAAAACCTGTTCTTGTTTTCCTCTTAGGCTAGTATTCTTTTCTAAGTAGATTATATAAGTGCCTAGAGGTTAAGGAACATATCTCTTTTGCTTCTGTATTTGCAAATGATCTAGTTTAGTGCTGAATATAAAGGAGTTGCAATCATTCATAATTCCTTTAGCCCAGCCGTGGGCAAACTATGGCCCGCGGGCCAGATCCGGCCATTTGAAATGAATAAAACTAAAAAAAAAAAGACCGTACCCTTTTATGTAATGATGTTTACTTTGAATTTATATTAGTTCACACAAACACTCCATCCATGCTTTTGTTACAGCCCTCCGGTACAGTTTAAGAACCCATTGTGGCCCTTGAGTCAAAAAGTTTGCCCACCCCTGCTTTAGCCCATGGTTGTCAGCCAGCTGTATTTAGACAAGGATTTCTGCAGCATTGTGGTGAAAATCAGCGTAATGAAGTTTGGTAGCATCAGGGTCCGGATGTACCTACAAAATGGATGACATTTTTTTTCATATCATATTCTCTTGACATTTCTTTCTTCCCTTGAAAACAAGAGCCAGTGGTGAGGCTCAAATTAACATTTCTCAGCTTCCAAAAAAGCTGCCAGGGACAAGGTTGAGTGAGGTGCTTCCAGCAGGGAGGTAAGACAAGATAACCACATTTTCTGTCTGCCTCAAGGCTGTACTACGTATCCTGAAGTGCTAGGAAAGGGAAAGGGATGAAGGGGTCCTTAAGAGCTGTATCATTATTGAGCCAAAGGAACTCATTGGTTTCCACATAGAATTCTGAATTCTAAGAATTCACTATCATATCAATTTTTCTCAAATATTTCCCTTAGGTTAATTAAATGGCTTTATGTCCAATGAATTTAATGATTCTTTTTTGAGGAGCTCAGCTGTTCAGAAATCAAGGGATGAAGATTGATTTATTTATGCCCAGTTTAAAGCACAGCTGAGTTCCGTGGTGCAGATAGAAATGGATTAACCGCAGGGCTCCAAGGCTTTGTTGGCTGGGCCACTTCTCCGGCTGGGCAGAGGATGTGCATATTCAGAGGTGGCTTGCACCTTCCAGGATTCATTAAAAAACGTTTACTTGATTACTGATGTAAGCACCACTCAGAATTTCTTTAGAAGAAGAAATCTACCTCAGCCCCAGAAAGAATGCAAAAGCAATAGGGAGATTCCATAATGGCCATCCGTAGACTCCTGCTTATTTGTCAGCGGGGATTATTGCCAACAAGAATTCTCTGTTGCTTCAGGAAACGCTGTCAGAAGATGAAAGAAAACACAAAGAAGCTTTGGAAGATCTTCACATGGCAGTCGATGAAGACTCGAGGAGCGAAAGCAGCAGTGCGGACGAGGGCAAAGAAAAGACCAAACTGCTGTTGGAAAGACTGAAAGCTCTAGAGGTAAGAAATGAGACCATTTTTACACATCTAAAGAAAAATAGTGTTCTGCTTCTTTTATTGGCACTGGTTTTGAATGAGTATAAACATTCCCTTCTCAATTCTCAATTCCCTAGACTAATAGGATCCAGTCTCACCCATTGCGATTTCTCTGTCAGTGATTAGCTGTCATGGTCTGCAGTGCTGACTCGTGGCCTAGTGATGAGATTGCATTGCCTTACAAAGAGTGCACTGGACAATGACTCACTTTAAATTCTGTTCAGCTCTTACACTGGATCAGGTCCCCTAAAATTGAAGGAAGAGGCTGTTCAATATTTCACTTTGTTTACCCAATACCTAATATAATAAATGAATGAGTGAATTGATAAATATCCAATACTATGTAAGGATGATTGTAAAAAAAATATTTTTTTAAGCAGAACCATTATTTCCCCCCCAAAACATGCAGAAGTTCACTGTGTAAAACATGAAAGTAGAGGTGAAGCTTAGCTAAAGGTTGCTTGAGGGAGGTTTTTGAATGATGACAGTCCTCCAATATATGTTTGAAAATGCAGGGCTGTTACTTAATGGCATTTGACTTCACTTCAAGTGTTAATTCCTGAATGTGCATGGCTGTCCTCAAAGAACATTCCAGTTATCAGTTCTTGGTAGGGATTATACAGCTGCTGAAAGGTTCAGTAAAGATGCCTTTTTTCTATAAGTGGGCTCATCTTCTTTTAATGACTTTTCTGTTAGCATGTAGAATTGAGATATACTTACTTTTAAGCAATGACTATGGGTAGCCCATCTCTTCTTAAACTAGGTACAAGGGGCCTTCAGAATCTCTAAAATTTAGTTCTCCCATTGGGTCTGCAGAATTCTGAAAACTTCAGGAGGGTGAAGAAATAAGATTGGAGATGTCTTGTTTTCTATGGTTGGTTTCGGAAATCTTGTCTTGAATCCACCATGTGGTCTTCAGTGGGCATACTACTCTTTTCACTCTAATTTCCTCAGCAATAGTAAAGCAAAATTGTTAAGATTATGGACTTTCAAACGAGATTCCCAGGGTTTGGTTTGAATCCCAGTTGTACTACTTTCTAGTTTTGAAACCTTGGGCAAATGAATTAGGCTCTCTGTGCCTCTGTTTCTTCAACCGCAAACATGCGGCTAATAGAAACTTACCTTACGGGGAAATAATGAGGATGCAATGACTTAATATTTATACAGCTGTGCCTGGCACATGGGCTCTTCTGTCCACCTACTTCAAGCTTCCTGCCATTCTTTAACTCATTTTTTCCTATTTATTTGATACAATGATCAATTAAACAACTATGAATGAAAAACTTCAGCCACTGCACACAGGAGTGCCTGAAGGTAGGTAGGTCAAGCAAATGGTGTCACACAGGGCAGAAGAGAGGGCAGTTCAGGGAACTTCAGCAGCTCCCCTTGGGCGAACGGCCAGGAATCACTCCTTTCTTCCCAAAGGTTCTCGTACTTTTTTCATTTTTAAGATAGTCGCTGTGAACAGTGGGAAAACCTTCTCAAAGGGCACTGAGGTTCTATCTGACAGTTTTTGGAAACTCAGAGCTTTGTCTTCAGGATGACTTCACTGGATTGAACAATGGGGATGATTGGATATTACAAGGTCTTACTTCCCTAGAACCACCTACTTAAATACTTAGTTTTGCTTATGATGGTAAAAAAACACTTCTAGTCTACCTATTTGTCACTGAAAAAACTTTGTGAATAACATTTTGTTTAATCAAATCAAGAGCTATTTAAAAAATTATCTCTGGCGATGCATATTTCTTAAGCCCGTACTGAGGAAAATGGAAGCAGTATTTTTTTTTTGTACTTTCACAGAGATCTTTATACTTTAGGCAACAACGCTTACATCCAGCATTAGTTGGATGTAATGGATGATATTTCTAAGTGCCATTAAGCCCCACAATTTTAATTCACAAATCTATTTTATTTTCTAAGTTAATTTCCTCCAGGCAGAGTGTTACTGCTTGTTTTCTAAAATGCTTTGCTCAACCTTAAGTGTACTCTCTCCTTGCTCCCAAATATCTTACTGTTGTCTATTTGAACATCTAGTAAAAGGAGATCTTCATTAAATATATGTAATATGTGTATATATACACCTATATAATCATACACATATATATGTCTCATCCAATTTTTATATGAATTTCATGTTACTTTACTTTAATTTTTTAAAATTAACTGTATGTGCTTTCTGTATAATCATTTGCATAAGTTAGCAATTATTGTATGAAAATAGAGGATTTGTTCTGAGAGACCACATTCATGGCCAACCACAGAGACCCACACAGATTTATACACTTCAACAAAATGCTACTCTGGAAGATTGCAGGGGCATTAAATAGAATTCTTCAAAATTACTTGGGCAAATTATGATGTTGTACAGCAAAATTTTAGACAACCAAAATAAAATACTTGTCATTGTCGTGTTTTTGAAACAACCATATATGTGTACTCTGACCTCTTGGCATCTGGTGTTGCAGGAGGCACAGAGGAATGGTCTTACGGGTGATGGGGAGCAGCTCACCGTAATTCCTGCTCCCCAAAAAGGTCCCAAGAAGATGTGGAAAAGCAGAGGAGATGCTGAGTTGACTTCTAATAATACCATATTCTTGATTAATATCAGGAAAATATTTTAAAACAACCAAGGTTGAGGAGCCTCTGACTTTGAGAATTAAGTAAATTTATCCAAGTAAAGTATCCCCCTCTGAGGAAAGTGTAGTGCCACCCCTACTCAAGAATGTTCCTTCTTGTGGGCCTTTCTGGGGCTGAATTCCTACTTACACTCAAATTTAAATCCTTCTTTCTTCTTCCCAACCTCATGTAAAACAAAGCTCTCTTTACTCGATTTTTTCCCAAATGCAATCCCACAAAGAATATGTGGTCATAGAAGAATATTCCAAAGGCTAAATGCTTTGAACTTGGTCTTTAGATGGCTCTGTTTTCTCTAAGTCCTTTAGGGCAGGGCATTTCATGCTTGCCCTTCTCAATCCCCAGCCTCCTACCCTAGAGCATGGCCAGCTCTTTCCCACTTGCTCTTTCTCTCTCTCTCAGCCAAGATCCCCATCATTTACTGTGCAGAGATTTTTGGGTTCCTGTATTCCACTCACAGTGTCATTCCATTCCACTTATAGAGCTCAACAAGGTATTTGCTAAAGAAGACATTTACCTTCCAAAAAGAACTGCATTTCACGCTTGCCCTTCTCAATCCCCAATCAGGTGGCCTCCTACCCTAGAGCACGGCCAGCTCTTTCCCACTTGCTCTCTCTCTCTCTCAGCCAAGTTCTCTGTCATTTACTGTGCAGAGATTTTTGGGTTTCTGTATTCCACTCACGGTGTCATTCCATTCCACTCAGAGAGCTCACCAAGGAATTTGCTAAAGAAGACATTTACCTTCCAAAAAGAACTCCAGGGCCAGCAGCCAAAATAATATTAATACACACACATGCACACATATTTTCTTTCTCTTCTTAGCAGTTGTTTTCTCTACTCAGTGTCTTGGTTTCAGTAATTTTCAGTTGTTCATGAAGAAGAGGAGGCCACTTACCCTCATCTCCCAGCAATGACTTCCCCAGGGACTAAATTATGTTCGCTTAGGATCCTGATGTCTGGTGGAGAAACCATTTGGTGCATTTATATTTCCGCCATAAGGGACCCAATGGGCGATATGGATGCCACTTGAACTCATTTTCTATAAGTTTTTAAGCATTAGGTTCTTTTTTTTTTTCTTATTTAGAGTGTCCGGCTGCTATTTCAGAGACGGCTTACTCAGAGTAAAGCTCATCATTTTTAACATGCTGCAGGCCCCATCTATCAAAGGACCACTCCTCCCTTGGACCTCATCCCACAGGGGTCTTTCAGATTTTTACCTCTATGATGGAGTGATTTGACCTTGTGTCTTCCCAGCTCTCTATTCCTGGGCTTGGGCCTCAGGCCCAGGTTTGCTCACAGCATGTTGCTTGAAATACAGGGCTTGCTTGTCTCCAGGTCCCTTTCCTGAATCTCTCTCAGCCCTTTCTCCCTACTCATTGACCAGCTTCATACCTGACTAGAAATCAAGATGAAATCCCCTTACCTCACTCTCAACTCCCATGGCATCTCTGCTTCCTAGACTCTGGCCAAGCGGGAGAAGAGGCCTGAGACCACCTGGGATTTCTCAGGCTCCAGGTAGATGCTGATGTCATGGATACAGCCTCAGGTCAAAAGAACTTGGCTTCTTATAGGGAAAAACTTATTTTGTGCCGAAAAATATGGTCATTAGATGTGCTAAAGTAAATAGCTTTTTCTACTCAGTTTCACCGTCCCGTGAAAGTATGACAATTAAAATGCTAAGTGTAAGCATTTTGGTTAATCAGTAATTACTGTTTAAAATGAGGTAGCTTAAAATAGTAATTCTCAAACCTGGCTGCACATCACAATGACTTGATGAGTTCGTAGTTGATAGATATTTATTTAATACCTTCTATGGGCTAAACACTGTTAGGCACTAGTATTAGAACTCCAACCCCAGTGTGTAGAGTCAGCATACATATTTAATAAAATAATAAATAATAAAACAAAGAAATAAATAGACAATTAAGTGCCTCTGAGTAAGAAAAATTAGCTGATATAATAATAAGAGAGTGGGGATGGAAACAAGAGAGGTATTTACCTCCAATGGCCTCTGATACTGGGCCAGTTGAGTACAATCTATATACTAGTATATAAAAAGCTAAGCAACTGTCCAACCAGCCAACTGTCCGGTAGGTATGATGCACACTGACCACCAGGGGGCAGTTACTCAATGCAGGAGCTGCTGAGCTGCAGTGACTTGGCAGTGGCTGTTCTTAGGTGACGCAACCTGGAACCAGAGAGGAGGGAGCTTGATTCCTTGCGGGGCAGCACAATTCCACCTTCGGCCAAGGGTTATGTTGTTGCTGGGGGACTATCGCCTGGAATCTGTTTTACTGCACACTTGCGTTTGTGTTCCACACCCTGTA